CAGCTCTTTCCCAGTCCTATTTTGAGAGGCTTTTAGCCTAAACGGACTATTCCTAAAGGTGCGTGGTAATGTACCAAACAGTGTTTCTTTGCTATTCATAAGGTTTTCCCTGGCCAATTAAGATATAAATGGAACTAGTGCACTTTAAGTTGTATGCATGTTAGTTATCATGTTAGGCACAAGTAAGACTTTATAATTGTCTTTATTTAGTGATTATGTACAGTTTAAAGAGATCTATACAGGTGCTGGGAGTTCTGGTAGCATAGTGTCTAAGGCACTTGACTGCTAGCCAGAAGGTTGGCAGTTCAAACCCACCAGCCACTCCTTGGAATGAAGGTTGGGCAATCTACTTTTGTAGTGATACTGCCTCAGAAACCCAAGAAAGGGTCGCTATGAGTCGGGTCCAACTTGACTGCAAATAACGAATAACAACATACAGATGCTAAGTTGACAAGGGTTGGACTGTGATAGAAAAGGTTATGTGTCAACTTGGCTAGGGCATAATTCTCAATGGTTTGGCAGATATGTAATCATCTCCCATTTTCTGATCTGATGTGAGCAGCCAATCATTTGAAAGGAGAGTTTTCTTAGGAGGGTGGCCTGCATATATGGATGTTCTGGAAAAGCTTGCCCTCTCTTGATCCTACATCCAACTCATCATCTTTGACCTCTGGTTCCTGAGATGTGAGCCAGCAGCCTGACATCTGATATGAAGATTATAGAATTTGCCAACTCCTGCAGCTGCATGAGCCAGGAGTCTGCTGTCTCATCTACTGAGTTTGCGCTCATAAGCCCTTGCAACCATGTGACTCAGGGGAAGCCTGATGCCTGACCACAGATTGGGGACCAGTCAACCTCCACAATTGCATGAGTCATTTCCTTGAAATGTATATATATATACATATATATCTTTGCTTTCTAGAGAACTCAGCCTAAGACATCCCTCAAATATGGTCGATTTGTGGTGTTTCAGCCTGGCATCTGATTTGCCAGTATGCTAATCTTTATTTGAAACCAGGTCAATGAATGTCCATGTGGATTATTTCCCAAGGTCTGACCCATGGTGGCCTATAAGATGTCCTCAAAAACAAGGTTGTAGTCACTTCTTGGCCACTGCTAGCCACCTAGAGGGAGTAAATAGTTGAGTCTGTGGGCTTGGGACCATAGTCACAGAGGACATCAAGATCAATTGGCATAAAATACTACACAAAAACATTGTTCCACATCCTACTTTGGCAAGTAGTAACTGGGATCTTAAAAGCTTACAAGTGGCCATCTAGATGCAACGATGGGTCTCTCCTCATCCAGAGCAAAGAAAAATGAAAAAAAAAAAACTGAAGATACATGGAAACAATTAGTCCAAGAGACTGGTATACCATGCAATCCTCAGCCTATATAACTATGAGACCAGAAGAACTAGATGGTGCCTGGCTATCACTGTGAACCAATCAGAGTGGGCTCTATGTAGGAGATCCTGGATAGAGTGGGAGAACAATGTGGAATAAAACTCAAAATCATTTTTTAAAAAAAGGGACTATGTTTACTGGTCTGATGGAGCCTAATGGAACCACTGAGACTATGGCCCCTAGCTGCCCTTCAGGTCTGGAATTGAACCCACACCTGTGGCTTCCAGCCAAACAAAAGACAGGCATATGAGGTGAACATTTACATTAGGTAGGTACACTCCTTGGAGAGAGCCATCACGGGAGAATAGAAGAGCTGTGTATGCACAGGGAGACAGCTCGGGGAGCAGGAGTGCATGGGAGGGGAGGACACAGGGAAGAGGTAACTATGGGGAGGAAGCGGGAGGGAAGCTGTTGCATTGTGGGAAATATCAGTCAATGTCATGAGACAAAGTGTAAGTGAGCTGCTGAATGGAAAGGGAATTTTCCCTGTAAACTTTCACCCAAATCACAATAAAAATTTTAAAAATAAATAAATAAATATAGCCAGGATGTTTCTTAGAAGTGAGGATGGGAAGACTTCATTTCATGTATTTAGGGGGGAAAAAAAAAAGATGTCCTCTCTGCCTATAGTCTATTCACAATGGACAGGAACACTTCACAGGCTCAAAGGCAAACTCAATAACCTGATTAACTAAGTTTACTCTCTTTTCTAAACATGATTGACAGGGGAACCCATTCCAAAGACATGTGTGATGGTTATGTTTGCATATCAACTTGGCTAGGCCTGGTTGAGTGGCTGGGCAGCTGGATGTAGTATTCCCCATGATGAGACTGGTAGTCAACTCCATGGTGGAATCTACTGCGAGCAGCTGAGTAGCTGCCTTTGGGTATGTGGTCTGCTTCCTGTATATAAGGAGAAGCTTTGAGAACGGTCTCTAGCATATGGCACTCTTGGACCCTGCATGTAGCCGTGTCATTGCTCAGCAGCCTGCTATGCTCTGCCGACCTTGGGACTTCCAATGGACTTAAGTTAATGGCCTACTGTGTGGTTTGGTAACATCAGGAATGTGCCTTTTTACTTGTCAAACTTGGGATTTCTCAGCCTCAGCAGCCAGCAGCTGTCTGAGTGAAGAAATGCCTCTAGCTCCAGTGGGCCAGGAGCAGGAGGCAAAGCTGGACCCCAAGGTTGAGGGGCTTTCACCCAGCCCCTAGAGCCTGGTACTTTGAACGTGGACTTAAAGCCTCCAAATTGTAAGAATAAACTCTTGTTTTTTAAGGCCATGCCATTTGTGGTGTATTCCTGTCAGAGAGGCACTAGGTAACCAGAACAGAATGGAATATATTTTGGGAACTGTTTTTATTTTCAGCATTTGAATTTAATGACATTTTCTTCATTTCAAGTAAAAACATTAAGATCTTTTTGGTGACAATCAAAAAAAAAAAAAAAAAAGAGATAGTCATACTTTATAGGTCTTCTTTTAGTCAAGGTATAAAATAGCCCTGAGTGGTGCAAATGGTCAAGGTGCTTGGCTGCTAACCAAAAGGTTGCAGGTTCAAGTACACTCAAAGATTCCTTGGAAGAAAGATCAGGTGATCTACTTCCAAAAAATCAGACATTGAAAATCCTATGGAGCACATTTCTACTCTGATACACATGGGGTCACCATGAGTCAGAGTTGACTCAAGGGAAACTGGTATAAAAATACTTAGGAGGGTATGTTGCAAGGAGCTGAAATGGTCCAGAAGATTTCCTTCCATCATTCACCCTTTGCCCTGCTCAGTCTAGTTTTTATCAGAATGGCACTCTACAGCTTGGCCACAACTTTTCCAGTGACCATTGGATTGACCAAGTCTTTATTGGTTTAGTTTTGTCCTTGACTAGAGTTTTAGTCCTGAGTTCCACAGTGTTGGCTTTAGCAGTTGAGTTCTATTGGGTGTCAAGATGAGAACCCAGGGAGGATCTACTAGTGGTGGCTCCTTGCCAGATCCAGGAAGACTCTGGTTTATCAAGATCCACCAAGCCCTTCTACTGATATTTATTGAGGTCTCCTGCTGCCTGTCCCTTCTTGACAGAAAAGGTGACCTGACCATTCCTCTGATGTCTTCCAAATGATCTGCAGTTTTTGCCACAGAAATATAATGATTGTGGTTAATTACCATTTTAAAAAATCACATTTTTGGAATGGTATTATTTAGACATCTGCTTAAGATTCTGAAGTTGAACAGGAGACTTAGTGACTTAGAGCCAAAATGGGCATTGCTGATTATAAACACTTGTATTCTGTTGAATCCAGAGCTCAAACTGGAGAAAAAAATTAAGATAAGAGTGGAACCTGGAATCTTTGAATGGACAAAGTGGGAAGTCGGCAAAATCATGCCCCCTCTCATGACCATGGAAGAGCTGAAAGAGGCTAATTTCAATGTTGATACGAATTACAGGTATGCCATTCACAAATTCTCTGCTGCCAGAATTTCTGTAGTTCTTCTATGTCTGACTCTTCAGCATCACAAATCCTTCTAATGTTCAATAAAAATGTATGCTTGAGATTAAACTTCAGTCCTTCACCAGAGTCTGAGCACAAAATAGAGCCCATCCAGGAGTCTCCCTTAAAGTGCCACCATCTTGGAAGAGTGCAGTCTTTCCCAGCTGACCACAGCCACACAATCCTAATCCATATCAACTGTGCCAGTGTGACAGCAATGTGGCATTGATCCTCCCTCCTTATTTCAGGCCTGCATTTCCACTATCTTCTTTGATACCAGCTGAGAGCTACGATGAGTATGTCAACAGGTGTTCAGTGAGTGTAGAACGAATAGTCAGCACCTCCCTACAAGACCGTAAGTGTTTCCATGCTCCACTCCAAGGTGTTACTTCTGGGATGGAAACTGGCTATTTTCTGAACCTGGTAATGAGTATGGGCATGGGTATGGATATGAGTATAGAATACATATACATATGGATACAGCTGGTATACAGATAGATTAGAGAGAGAGAGAGATGGAAGCTCCCGAGATAGGCCCAGCTGCTAGGAAACAGTCTGGCAGCAATCCACCTTCTCTGATACACCAGGCAAGACTCCTCCCTCTGCCTAGCTTTACTTTGTTCTGGATAGAACAGGTGCTGAGTGTGTCTTCTCCTCTCCCCTAGAACTGGCTTAGTGCAATTCAGGTCACCAGGGGGTACTCATTCAGCAGCTGGACTGGCGTATTCTTCAAGCCATTCATCAGTAGGAATCCAGGAGGCTCATGGTGACCAATGGGTTGATAATTCTAAAGCTGATAATAAGATCAGCCTTAGCAGCAGCCACCACCACACCCCAAGGTTTACAGAGTCTGACTGATAGTCACCAGAGGGCAGCTTTTGGTTAATTTCTCAGCCCCATCCCCCCAGACCTGCACAAGAGGGCCCACTGTGCAAGGGGGAGGTGGAGTTGTGGGTATTATGCACCTCTTACCAATCACACCCACTTCCCCTCTTTGCCTGCCTTCTCTCCCTCTCCCTTGGGGTACTAAAGCAGTTCCACCCCAACAACTTTGGGAAGGCCTGATCTGATAAAAAAAAAAGCACTCTGCCTGCTTTGACCTCAAGGGGTCCTTTTACCACAGTGGGCGTCATCCTCGTTGTGAGCCATGGCTCAGCACTGGACTCCTGCACTCGGCCACTCCTTGGGCTGCCACCACGTGAGAAGGAGGACTTTGCCCAGCTAGTAAGAAAGGTACATGTCCCATCTTTTCTCTACAGCCCCCAAAGTCCAGCTCTCTGAAAATGCAGGGTCATCATACTCCCTTTGCAGGGAAAACTAACATCTGGTAACCCAGGGCAACAGGAATTTGCCTGTCCCCTGAGAACAGCCCACATGCTGTCAGGCAAAGGACACCTGGGACTGAGGCTAAAGAAGAACGTTTGTCATCTGTATCGCCATTATGGCAATTTTGATCATTTGCTGCTAATATAACTTAAAGAAAAAGACACAGGATTTTTGTAAAGTCAGCTCACATTACTATTCCTTGCTTTTAAAAAAAAAATACAGTTGCTAGAGTGGACTTCAACTCATAGTGACCTCACCTGTGTCAGAATAGAACTAACTGTGCTCCACAGAGATTTCAATGGCCAATTTTTTTGAAACAGATCTCCAGGCCTTTCTTCCAAGGTCCCTCTGGGTGGACTCTCCAAACTTTCAATTAGCAGCTGGGTGCATTCAACATTTGTAACACTCAAGGTCTCCAGTAATAAATATATAGTCTCTATGAGTCAGAATCGATTCAATGTCAGTGAGTTTGGTTTGGTTTTCTAATAATAAACAAATGGTCCAATAAGGAGTTAGCAGTTGGATAAGAAGATAGAGAACGAAAAGAGTCAGTGTCCCAAGCCCAGCCCAGCCAACACCAGCCCTGTGCCTGTGGCAAGCTCTTAGTGCTCTGAGTTCACATCCTGGCCAGGATAGAACATGCCTCCTCCCACAGAGGGTGGGTGAGATTCAAAGAGCTTGTGCCTACGAAATGTGCTCCAAGCCATTAGTTATCAACACAGCATCTAATGCACAAGACATCTATATATCCTTCTCTTGTCTTGTTCCAATTTCCTCTGGAACTGAGTAGAAGTTTCTCCCCTCCAAAGTGAAAGAAAGAGAGAGAGAGAGAGAGAAGAAAAAGAAAAGCTTTAAAAGCAAAGCTCTCATCCACCATCCATTTTATAAATGAAGGAATTGAGGTCTATACTTTCATTTTATACTTTGTTTGATCAATCTGATAACTCAACACTAAAACCAAATCCATTGCTGGCAAGTCAATTCTGACTCACGGCAACCCCAAGTGTTACAAAGTGGAACTGCTCCATAGGGTTTTCTCAGCTGTAATCTTTACAGAAGATTCCCAGGTCTTTCTTCCACAAAGTGGGTTTGAACTGCCAACCTTTAGGTTAGCAGTTGACAACAAACTGTTTGCACCACCCAATGACCTTAATAACTCAATATCTGTGCCTTTTTTTGATGCTGACCCCAGGGACCTTGATGACTTTACACTGTGTCTGTTTGTGATGCTGAATGCAAGAACATAGCTACTCTTCGTTAGACCACAGTTCTCAACCTATGCACTATTGACCATTGGGGTTGAATCATTCTCTATGGTAGGGTTGTCCTGTGTACTATAGGATGTTGAGCAGCATCTCTGACCTAGACGCCAGTAGCAGTCCCCACCCCAAGTTGTGATAACCACAAATGTCTCCAGACACTGCCAAATATGGAGAGTTATCCCCAGTTGAAAAGAATTGCTATCTTAGATGTTGATGGTATGTTAACCTATCAGCTGGCTTTAGGATTAGCCTAAAATTAATTGACTTATTATTAAATATCAATAATTGATTAAAAACATCAATAACGGATTGAAAATTCTGTTCTAGATCCCTTCTCTGGGTATGTGCTTCTGCGAAGAAAATAAAAAGGAAGGAAAATGGGAATTGGTGGATCCGCCTGTGAAGACACTGACCCATGGGTCCAATTCAGCATTTAACTGGAGAAACTGGATCCTGGGCAACTAAGAACCAACAATTTGTTTCCAATAACTTAATAATGAACAAGTGAAAAGTCTTCACAGAGGCTGTAAAATAGACTTATTGTGAAGGTATTTTAGTCTCACATAATGTGAGTTGTAGAAGCACAGAATGCACTTTTACATTCCAGAATTTTTGTCATCTGCTTTTACCTCTGTGATGCCAACCTGAGGGTCCATTTGCCCGTGAACATGACTGTGCAGAGCTCAGAGCAGACTGCTGGGTCCTGGCACCATGTTTCTAATCCAGGCACAAGACAGAGTCGTGTAAAAGTGAGAGTTATGGTTTGGAGTGAGATTGAGGAACTATGACTCTAATTTCCAAGAATTAAAGGCCCATCACCAAAAAAAAAAGGATACATGTACTTTATTTGATGTGTTTCTTTAGTCAAAGTTCCCACTGGATTTTCCTTTTTCCATTTCTATCACTCTTTAGCTATGTCTACATAACATGAAATAGGTATAATATTGGGGAGGGGGGAAATGGTACAAGGCAATTATCTACCAGATTAAAACTGAGGACCTGCTGGTTGGTGTCAACATCTTCCATGTGAGTGTTCTCTTGCAATAACAACCTTCTGGTCTTCAAACAACACACATTTATTCTCTTACAGTTCTAGGGGTCAGAAGTTCACATCTGATTCCTTCAGGAGGCTCTGAGAAAAATTCACTTTCCTGCATTTTCTAGCTCCATGCCCCTTCCTCCATCTTCAAAGCTAGTAGAATAAATAAATAAATAAATAAACACCCACTGCCACTGAGTCTATTCTGACATATAGCAGCCCTATAGAGTAGAGAACTGCTCCACAGAATGTCCAAAGCTGTAAGTTTTTACAGAAGCAGACTGCCTCATTTTTCTCCTGTGGAGTGGCTAGTGGGTTCCAACTGCCAAGCTTTTGGTCAATAGCTGAATGCGAGCAACACAGCCTCTTCCAGTTTCTCTCTCTATCCCTCTGCTTCCATCATCATATTGCCTTCTGCTTCTGACCCTCTTATCTTCTTCTTATAAAGACACTTGTGATTGCATTGACCCACAATATAATCCAGGATAATCTTCCATTTCACAATCCTTAACTTAATCACCTCTGCAAAATCCATTTTGCCATGTGAAGTAACATATTCAGCTTCCATTCACCAGTCAATCAATTCAACTCGTAGCGACCCCTCCTTGGATTTCCGAGGCAGTATCTCTACAGAAGTAGATTGCCCATTCTTCCTTCCGAGGAGTGGCGGGTGGGTTTGAATGCCAGCCTTCTGGTTAGCAGTCAAATGCCTTAGGCACTATGCCACCAGAGCTCCCTTTTATTTTATTAGTCAGTCAACTACACCCCTGTCCTACTCCTGACACCTGAGACTTCCCTTGGTGTCGGACCTTCTTTTCTTCCTTCTAATCAAGTGGGGGGGAGCTCTGGTAGCATAGTGGCTAAGGCACTTGACTGCTAACCAGAAGGCTGGCGGTTCAAACCCACCAGCCACTCCTCGGAAGGAAGATGGGGCAATCTACTTCCGTAGTGATACTGCCTCGGAAACCCAAGGAGGGGTCGCTATGAGTCGGGGCCGACTTGACAGCACATAACAACAACAACAACAACAATCAAGTGGGGAGAGGGGGGAGGTGGCAGATAAATTGTGCAGTGGCCACTGGGAAGAGAATCCAGAAGTAGGACCCCCAGCACAGAGTGTTCTGCCTCATGATGGTGTAAATTAAATGAAAGCACTGACTTATAAGAAGCTGGTCTCCCCAGTAGTGTCCTTTCACCTTCCCATCCTATCCTGTGATAGCCGTTCCACTGCCAGTGCGTGCAGTGCCTTGATCTGCAGGTTCAACTCCCTCTGTACACAATGAAAATTGATTGGTCCTTGCTTCTTTTCCACCCCCATTCTGGTTCTGATATTATTTCATTCCTATAATTTGCAGCCATGGCCAGTCTCTAACCAGTTGCCATTGAGTTCATTCTGACTCGTGGTGACACTATGTGTGTCAGACCAGAAATGTGCTCCCTGGAATTTTCAGTGGCTGATATTTTAGAAGTTGATGGCAAGGCCTTTCATCCAAGACCCCACTTAGTGGACTCATACCTCCAACCTTTAGGTTACCAGCCAAGCATGTTAACCATTTGTACCACACAGAGATTTCGTTAATATGTAACAGGACTTTTATAGAACAAATATGAGGGCTGGTCAGAAAGTTCTAGCTCTTCACCCTCAGCTGCCTTCTGTTATTTCCCAGGAAAGCCTGGGAGCAAAAACTAAAGGAGCTCTTGTGGAAATAAAGTTGGGAGAAACCCAGCGCCTCAAGAGAGAACCAACCCACTCCATCAGAAAGCACACAAGGAGGCTGGTATCTGACAGAAAAGTTCCCCACTTTTTTACTAAACCATCTCCAGAGAGAAAGATAAATTTGTTTGTTCTTATTTTCTATATCATTCCTCTATGTCCAAACACAGAGAAATTTGGAATTGGCATAGCAACAGAGAACAAAAAGCATAGCTCCCCCCCATCAGCTTATTCATATATCGGGTCATATACTAAATATAATTTATTTATTTATATAATAAAGTCTTTAGGGAAATAATCCTCGATGTGGCTCAATGGGCTCTGATCTATAAGCAAATAAATTTATTGGGGCTAGGAGTAGGCAGACAGTACTTTCTATGATGAGTAGTATGTCCTACCACTGAGCACATAGATAACTTTTTCTTTTTCTTCATCAAGAATATGGTTGACCACTTCTTACCCAAGCACCTTGAGGGACTAAGTCACTGGGCCTGCGGGCTCAAGACCATGGTGGTGGGGAACATCAAGCTCAAGTGGCACAACATAGTACACAAAAACATTGCTCTACTTCCTACTTTGTTGAGTAGTGACTAGGGTCTTAAAAGTTTGCAAGTGGCCATCTAAGATGCATCTACTGGTGTCCCCTTGTCCAGAGGAAAGAAGAGTGAAGAAAATCAAGGATACGTGGAAACAATTAGTCCAAAGAACTAATGGACCATGGGAACCTCAGCCTACATGAACCTGAGACCAGAAGAACTAGATGATGCCTAGCTACCAATGCCAACCACTGGCAAAGGTATCAAAATTGGAAATCCTGGATGAAGTGAGAGAAAAAAAAAAAAAAAACATAGAACAAAACTCAAAAACATTAAAAACAAAAACAAAAAAGTGGATTACTGGTCAGATAGAGATTGGTGACACCCCCAATATTATGGCCCCTAGTCACCCTTTGGGTCTGAAATTGAACTCACTCCTGTGGCTAATTCTCAGGCAAATGATAGACAGGCCTAGGAGCTGAACAATTACACCAAGGAGATGCACTCCTTGGAATAATCAACCATGGGAGATCAGAAGGGCAGCATTTTCACAAGGAGAATGGCAGAGAAATAGGAATATGTAGGCAAGAAGGTTGAATGGAAAACAAATCTGCTCTGTAAAATTTCACCCAAATCACAATACAAAGTTAAAATAAAAAAAATTAAAAAGAATATTGTTGAGCAGAAATGTTCCCTCTGTGTTCTCTCATGGATACCAAGAATATGGCTGAGCCTATGAATCATAATTACAAATAAGAACTTTACAATTCAAGTGCATTAAATTTAAGTGCTGTTTTTAGGTGACGTGGAGTAGATTCCAATTCATAGGGACCCCTTTCGGTTATCAGCCAAGTTCTTAACTGTTAACACCAGAGGTCCTTGGAATTTGAATAGTGGTCACTGCCTTGAGAATTGTACTCTTTTAAGATCTGTCTAAACGGGATCAAATTAACAACAGTGGCTAGAAAGATTAGATAGGATTATAGATTAGGGGAAAATGAGTTAATGTCAATGGGGGAGAAACAACCTAGAAAAGGAGGGTGGGAGTGATTGTACAACTCCAAGAACATAATCAATGTCACTGAATTGCATGTGTAGAAACTACTGAATTGGTGTATGTTCTGTTGTGTATATTCTCAACAACAACAACAACAACAAAAATTTAAAAAAAAAAAAAAAAACAGACAAAAATAAATGAATAATGTCCCTGGATTTCCCTTCTCCAGGATGAAGCTACCCTGGTCTCACACTGCTGGGTAATAAGAGGGGAAGATAACAATGCTTATTTCTTGTTATGCTACTGATGGGGTTTTGCAAGGGATAACAAGGGAATGGGTTTGAGTCTCAGATCTCAAAGTCAGGTGTGCAAGAACACCATTTTCTTTATATTCTATAATTCTGGTTCTGACAAGAACCCCACTCCAATGCAATGGCAGAAAATTTCACCTGTATCATTCTTAGATTCCAGGATGAGCCATTCATCATAAGGACTGAGCCTAGGGGACAGAACTGTGCTGGAGACTGAAAGAGATGGAGATGCCCAGTGGAAGTTTATTATTATTTAGTGTAAGTGTTCAACTCTAGAACTGATAAACTTTTTTTTTAAAGTTTCTTACCAGAATGTTCCTTGGAAGCAAAGATGGTATCAAGATGTCAAAGTCTTTGGACAGGGCACCAGGAAAGACCAATCACTGGAAAATAAGATGGATTGGCACAGAAGCCATGACGATGGGCTGAAACTTACCAACAATAGTGAAGATGACATAGGACTGGGCAGCGTTTCCTTCTGTTACACAGAAGCTCACCGTGGGTTGGAGCCTATTCAAGGCAACTAACAATGCTCTTCACTTGCTTGTCTTTTGGTTTTAATGAGCCTAGTCTGACTGCTAACCAGAAGGTTGGCGGTTCAAATCCACCAGCCACTCCTCGGAAGAAAGGTTAGGCAATCTACTTCCACGGTGATTGTTGTTATGTGCCATCGAGTCGGATCCGACTTATAGCGACCCCTCCTTGGGTTTCTGAGGCAGCATCACTACGGAAGTAGATTGCCCCATCTTCCTTCCGAGGAGTGACTGGTGGGTTTGAACCGCCAGCCTTCTGGGTAGCAGTCAAGTGCCTTAGGCACTACGCTACCAGAGCTCCTAGTGATACCACCTCGGAAACCCTAGGAGGGGTC